AAATGATTTTTGTATTATATTTTTATATAATCTTATGTGTCATTTAAATAATTATTTTTTATTTATTTAAATAACGTAATATTAAATACATTTATTTATTTAATAATTATTTTTTATTTTATTAAAATTTATAATATTATATATATTTATTTAATAATGTATAAAAATTATAAATAAAAAAAATGCAAATATCATTACTAAATCACATGCAACTTACACTGAAAAAAAAAAAAAACCATGTAAACTTAATCTTATTTAATGGCAGGTGTCAAGAAGTAATAAGATTAGAGTTGAGCACTTTTGTCTTCAATGCTGCCACATGTAATCACCCCGCTTCGCTATCCCGCCCCCCTTGATGATATGCCAGAAAGGGTCCTAGTCCATGTACAAGACAAGGGCACATCTGGACACGATGTGGACATTGGGAAAGAGAGGTGATGGTTGGTAAAACATGGGGTTCTTAAACTTTGGGGGACAATAAGCAAGGGGTGTCTCAATCCAATAGGGTAGTAGTACCCACCATCTTTTCAAGGAGTTACATTTCCGGTAAATAATGCTAGTATGATTTTGGTTCAACCCACCCTCCTTGACCCCTTCTATATTTAAAATCCAACAATCTTATTAGTTTAAGGTAAGATTAATGTTCGCTCACTTGCAGTGGCCTGATGGTCACACTTCTCCATTATAATGGAATACAACCTGTCTGTGCAATGTGTTATATATAAATATGATATAATAATGATTGATATATTTTTTAATTTAACACACTTAATAATATTTATTGATTTAATTATTAAAAAATTAATATTTTTAAAATTGAATTTAAGGTGAAAAAATTTTAAAAAATAAATTTGAATGACTAAATCGATGGATATTATTAAGTATGTTAAATTAAAAAATATATCAATCATTTTCCATATAGATAAAAGTCTCTATATTTTTTTGTCTCAACTTGAAAGTTGTTCGTAACTTAAATAACAAAATTTTTCTTTTACAAGGAAAGAAACTATGATCAAGTTAGGTGGAGTTTATTTCTATACCTTTCTTTTTTCTTGTGTTATTTTTAATTTTTTTTATTAAATTTAAAATTTTGTTGAAGTGTTTTTTTTAATATTTTTAAGCAGAAATGTTTTTAGTTTAGTTTTTATATTTGTTAAAATTAACCTCTCTCCCCAAATTAGGCTATCATAACAACACACCTTATTTATTTACATAGTGTATTTTAAAAAAATTAATTTTTTTAATTGATCCCAACACTTAAACCTGGTTAATAAGATAATATTTGTTAATTAACTGGTCCAACTCTTAATTAAAATTTTATTGAAATTAGGTCATCTTTAATGTGTCCTCAAGAATATTAAGTAATTAAGAATTAAAATTTTTGTGTTAAATGTTTTAAATTTAAATATTAAAACAAATTAAAAAAGGTTATACTTTATTATATATAAGGTATAAAAATATTCACTATAAATACGAAAGCAACATATTCCTCCAACAAAATTTTTAAAGTTGAAAGAGAGAAAACATAGTTATAAATAATGCAAAAAGGCATCACCGAATGTATCCATGGTCAGTTCGCAAATCAAAGTTTCATCAGTATATCCTCTCTTTTTTTCTTTTTATTTATTTATTTGAATATCCAATTAATTGATATATATTGTGATGAATTAAATGTATTGGTACAAGGTTCTATAAGAAAAAAAGAGCATTGTACCCAAAAGAAAAAAAGAAAAAAGAAAAAGGAGAAAAGAGCACTTAATTACCATTAACCAATGAATCTTAAGCTTAATGGTATCCCATCATGCTTTAATAATGGATCTCTTTACCTCAAAAAACAGATCTCTCCTCAAGATTTGATTGAGAAAGATTTATATTTTCTTAATGGTTAGGTAATATTATGACTTATGAGTCAATTTTCAAGCATCATATTAAGTTTGTTTCTTTTACATGATTAAATGCATATTATTTATATTAGAATTAAGAAGTTTATAATGAATTATGGTTTGCTTGGTACAGTGATTTTAGGATAGCGATTAGCAGTTTTACCTAAATCGTTAAGCATAAGCGTTTAGTAAACTTATATATTCCAAAATCGTTACAAATAAGATATTTGATAAAAAATTTTATTTAGCAGTTTAAGATTAACAGATAGTGGTTATGATCCAACCGCTAAACCACTAACAGATTGAAAAAACTAACTTAGGTAGCTTTTTATACCAAACTGCTAGCAGATTAGAATTTTTTAATTTTATTGATAAATTTATCCATTTTAATTTTTTCATTTTTTGTCACAATTTGTAATTAATATTTATCTAATAGGTTTCAATTTTTTTTACCTTTAATAATATTAAGTGATTATAATATTTTTATTTTTTACATTAATTTATCATTAAAAAATATATTATCTTAAAAAACAAAATTTACTAATTAGACAAAATGATTAATTTTATTTAAAAATAATATAATTTTTCTTTGTTAAAAATAAAAATGAGGGTATAATAACGTTATTATAATTAATTTTATTTATTTGTTTTCTTATTATTTTTTTATAAAATTAATAATTTTAATAAAAAAATAAAAATATTAAAAAAACACATTTAATTGTTTTTAAACATATCTTTATTAATAATTTAATATTAAACAACAATCATTAATTATTGTATAATTAAATAGTTATATCTATTCAATCTGTTATGTATTATTTGTTACCCACTTTCCGTTATGTATTATCCGTTACCCACTTTTCACTATCCATCATTTACTATTCACCATTCACTATCCGTTAAATTTTAATTATTATACCAAACAACCTATATCTCCTTTCACCTCTCAAAAAATTCAACCTTTAATTAACAAGTTTGATTGAGAAAGATTAAAGTTTAAAGGAAAAGTGAAACTTAAAGTTTTTTGGTATTGTAAGTGATAATATTCTTTATAAAATTATTTAAATATCATTATAGAATTTTTTTAATGTATATTAATTCATTAAAAATAGTCTGACCTTGTTATTATTTTTTTAATATTTTAATTATCAAGCCTTCTAATTTTTTTAATCTCATAATTTAATCAATATTTTTTTATTAAATAAAAAATGTTCTAGGAGTTAGATGGAGTGATGGATCAACATGTCTCCCATAACCTAACCCCATTACAATGTTGGATCAACATGCCCAAACCGAATTGGGTGGGGGCCTCACAAATGGGCATTTTGGACCCACCAATTTTGTCCTTCATGACCTCACAGTTAACATGTCACTTTTGCATTAAGCAACTGTACTACCCTAATTAACGTGGAAATGGAACCTCCAATTATCAATTAATATTTAATTCAGTGATTAAGTTGGGTCTTAGAAGGTAAAGATTAGGGAAAAACGTAAACAAGGTGAATTAATTCAAAATAAAAAAGCAGAAAAAAATTTACAACTTATATTATTTTGAATTATAAAATATTAATTTTTAAATAAAAAAATATCTTAATATTAAAAGTTTTTTTTCCACTTAAAAGTTTGTATTTTACTATATAAAATAATTTAAATTGTAAAAACGTGAAATCAATAAAAAATATAAATGTAAAGGGTAGTTATATAGGGATAATTTTTTTTTTGTTTTTTATATAATTTTTATATGTTATTAAATAAATAAATATATTTAATATTATAGATCCTAAATGAATAAAAAAATTAATAATTTAAATAATATATAAGATTATATAAAAATATAATACAAAAATCATTTCTAAATCATTTTTCATATATAAAACAAGGAGGACGCGTGTGTCCAGCTAGACTGGATGTGGGAGATTGACTGCCAGCTAGTTTTTATCAGAGGTTGTTCATTTTTCAAAAATTAGTAATATTGCAATAATTAGAGTAGTAAAAATTTAAAACAAAAATAATCTCATAACAAAGTCCCTCCATAATTTTGTTTTATGGAATTCCCTCAGTAATTATATCCTTGAATAACGAATGGATACATATTCATAATATTTATATGACATCAATCATCTATATGATTTATTCATCATCTACAAAAGTAAAAAAAATGCAAATAATTGTCAAATAAATTCTGTGTCTCAAAATATTGTTTTTTTAAAGAAATTTTACATATTAAAATTTTAAAAATAATTTATATTTTTATTTATATTATTTATAGATAAATCAAAATGTTTTATAATAAAATAGATAATTATTTATATTAAGGATTGCTTAGAGTAAGAATATTGATAGTTAAGATGAATTTTTTGTGCCAAATTTTCAAACAATTTCAGGGTAGTCATTGG